GGGTTTGAACCGCCAGCCTTCTGGTTAGCAGTCAAGTGCTTTAGCCACTATGCTACCAGAGCTCCTTGAGGTAGCTGAGACTCCTGAAATGTTGTCTGAGTCATCAAAAGAAAGATCCCATTCAGTGCCCAGTAGTTCCAGTGTTAGGTTATTTTGTAGTCTTCCTGATTCTTGGTACCAGGTCATAATTCTTAAGTCTTAGCATTCATGCATGTCATTTAGTATGTTTTATAAGAAATTATTTTTTTTAATCACAGTCATTTTCCAGATACACAGATAAAATAAAACAAGATCTACCAGAGGGATTTTTGTGCTGAAAAAAATAAAAATAAAGAAGGCTAGGAAAAATGCAGGTTCAAGGGAGCAGGGACAAGCTCACAGCAGGGTTAGCTCTTTAGCTGAGTGTCTCTGACCCTAGAGTTAGGAATTATTTTACTATGGGAATTGGAAGAGAAAACATGTTATAATGCAAAGTGCCTTGGAATAAAAATTGACCTTTTGGTCTAGTATCACCGTGTGATGTCTAGTAAAATCTTGCACTCCTGGTGGCCTCAGGTTACTTATTTGCCACATGAATAAAATTAACCCAGAGACTTAAAAGCCTTTCAAATTCTAATATTCTGTTTGGTAGTCTATAACATAAGAACTGGATGATACCATCCTTATTTTGAAATAGGATCTGTAACCCTAAGTGATGGCTACTAAGCTGTGCTTTGGATTTATATGAAGTATTCTCCTATATCTTGTACTTGTATGAGCTACCTACACAAGGGGATGCTGGTGTTGTCCCTCAAAATCATGCCTGTCCAATCCAAGTTTGTGTGCTCTTTTCTGGTTGCTGAGCCTGCAAGTGTAGTTCTCATGCAATCAATTTTTAGAGAGTCATTTGGAGAGAGGATTCAGGTAACAGTGAAGAATTCTTTATATACAGTCTCACTAATAAGCTTTGAAGGATAACTTTCTGTAATTTTTTGTTTCATTTAAATTTCTTGGGAGACCTTTCTAGATGCCCCCATTATCTTGCCTAGTCCTCTGAATGTTTATGAGAACCCTAGAATGGGAAATATTTTTTGCCGAAAGGGGAAGTCTATGCAGTTTTTCTCCTTAAGTCATTTAACCCTTCAGATTTAATAATTCATGGGCTTAAAATAGCAAATTATGGTGTATTGAGTTGTGCTCTGAACATACTATTTTGTTTATTCTGTTCAAACTTTACCTGAATCCTGTCTAACATTTCATGTATTTATGAACTTTCTGCTATTTATTTATTGTGAGAAATGTTACAGCCATTTTTCTGTTTTTGTTTTTGGTGTTATACTCTCTCTCTCTCTCTCTTTTTATTCCTTCTCTTAAGTTTTTCTTTCTCACACTGCACATACCCCCTACATTCTTCTTGTTCCCACAGGCATCCGGGCAGTCAGAGTTGGAGCCAGAAAAGACTCCATTGTGCAACGTGCCTCTGCCCCCTCCTTCAGCATTTGCAGAAATGGGCAGTGATCTTGCACAGTCCTCTGCAAGCAAAGTCTCAGAAGATGTGGACAAAGAGGATGAGTTTGGTTACAGCTGGAGTAAGTTGTCTTTTTGTACTGCATATATTTACACGAGGTATTAAAATAGATCTGAGTTTTTCGAGGCTTATGTTCTGGATGAGTGAATGTATTTTAGCTTTACTTATACATACTGCCTCTCTGCAGGGAAAAAAAATTATTTTTTTCAATACAGCATGCATTCCTGAGGTATGAGGTCATGTTCTTCCTTTCCTGTTAACGTGCGTTCCTGTTCACATGGGCTTTGCCATTTGTACAAGAATTAAAGAGGGCACAGCAAGGTCTCAGAAGCTAGTCCTGAGTCAGCCACCATGTGGTCTTGAACAAGCCATTGCCCCTGTCTTGACCTCAGATCTCTCATTGTAAAATCTAGTTGTTGTGGATACTTTGAATGTCCAATATTTTCTATACTGGGATGGTAACGTAGTGTAATTGTTGAGATCACAACTTTGGGCAGTGACAAGTTGTTTGTCATCTCTAAGTTTTAGCTTATTCATTAACCCACTGTTTAGAATGCATTTCTTATCACTGAGTACTGACATTAAATTATAGAATCTATTAGGAATGCCAAGGAACTCTGGTGTTGTGGTTACGGCATTTGGCTGCTAATCAAAAAGGCCAGTGGTTTGAACCTACCAGCTGTTGTGTGGAAGAAAGATAAGGCAGTCTGTTTCTGTAAAGATTTACAGCCTGGGAAACCTATTGGGGATCACTAGGAGTCAGAATCGACTCAATGACAATGAGTTTAGTTTGGTTTTGGTATTAGGAATGCTAAGCATCATGTGTGGTGCACAGAAAGCATTCAAAGGTGGTGTTGTTATGATCATTGGGGTTTCTGTATTTTCCTAGGAAATAAACTGTTTTTCAGGGAAATACTAAAAAATTTAGCCAAAGTTTATGAATAAGCTCTTACTTTTGGAAGTAAAGTTTGCTTTCAAAGTAATTTTCTTTAAGAAAGTTATAGTACATGATCTTAGGAAGTATAAAGCATGCAGATTATGCCACTAGATTCTAGAAAATGTCAGTTTATTAATTTGATGCTGTTGAGAGTCAATGTAGATTATATGGCATTAGCCATATAATATCATCTTCTAATAAGTGGTTTGTAAACTTTGCAGTTTGCTCAGTTCACTGTCGATGAAATTATTGTATATTGCTGATTCAGTCAAGGTGACCAGAATACTCTGAGGTAAACAGAATGTGTTAATAATCTTATTTCATGTAACAAATCATTTAAAACTTAATAGCTTAAAACAGTTTCTTATTAATCTGTCGAGGTTCTGTGGTTGACTTGATGTAGCTAAGGCAGACATCCAAGAAGGTACCCTTCTCTGGCTGGCAAACATTGTGCTTGCTGTTGGCCAGCTGCTCATCTGGAGCTCAGGCTGGAATACCTATATGTCCCTCTCTATATGACTTGAGTTGTTCACAATATGGCAGCTGGGTCTTGAGAAGGAGTGTCCCAAGAGCAAGCAGTCTGTGAGTCAAGAAGCAGAGCTGCCAAACCAGTAAAGGGCTGTGCCTAGAACTAACACAGTGCTAGTTTTGCCTTAGTCTATTGGTCAAAGTAGATGCTTCAGATTAAAGAGGGTGGACTATGAATTCTACCTCTTGAACATGTGGGATGGGAGATAGGAATGGCACATGGGTCCCAAAGCTGGGATAGATATATCAGTTTTCCCTGGCCTGATGACCCTGTGCAATCAGAAAACCTGTTCCCTTTATTCTGAATATATGTAACAATTGTCCAATATGCTCTAACTTCCAGATTTTCCTATGGGAGGAAAGCTCCCACTGACTGTGCCTACTGCCATCAAGTTGGTTTTGACTCATAGCGACTCCTTTTGGAAGTAGATTGTCCTATCTTCCTTCCAGGGAGCACTTGGTGGGTTTGAACCACCAACCTTATGGTTAGTAATCAAATGCCTTAGGCAGTGTGCAACTAGAACTCCTTTGCCAGGTGCCAGAGCCCATGAACTTAATAGTAAGAAGAGTTCATGAGGTTTCCAAGCCATGCCACAGAGTTTCCAGATCAGCAGTGATCACCTTAGTTGTAAGAACAACTTGGAAAAAATTAACACCCACAGAGGTGAATAATTTTCAGGTTACAACAGTCACTAAAACCTCTTCCCCATCAAGGAAAAAGCTCAAGCCAACCCTGAACACCAGGCTCTGCCTACAACTGACAGAAGTGGCCTTGTGGCTGGCATTCTTGCATGTCTCCCTTAATGCATCCAAGAGTGGCTTTCAGAGCCCAATATCATCACAGGTTATATAGGTAGAGTGCCCTGTATCCCATAGTCCCTGCCCAACTGGAAAATCTGGGCTAAAAGTTTAGGGACTGGAGAGATAGAAGATATCTACAAAGGCATGGAGGAAATCCCCTTTTTCTAGATAGTCTCTTAAAGTAGTTTTGTCACCCAGCCCACTCCCCATTACAGTTCATATGCCCCACATGCAAACAGAGCCTATAGACATAAAGTCCCATCAGTAAGTTAGGACTGATAGCTGAGAGACAGTCGTTTCTTGCAATTTTCAAGAAAGATTAAGAACAAGCTTTTCCTAGTTGAGTGGACTCCCCAATAAACAGCTCAGCTCCTTTTCTTCTCCCTCTGTTGGGAACTTGGATGTTCACAACACCCAGCCAATTGGCTGGAGGCTTGCAAGAGCCCTGGAGCCCAAGAAAGCTTTCACACAGAAAAAGAGAAAGCCCCTCATAGTTCCAGTTCTCCTGGGGTTACAAACATCCTTTTCTAAATCTAGCTCAAACAACTTCCCTGTGGCTCTACCCACCTCCCCCCTCCAATCAAAAAGCATTGAGACTACTTCTCAATCCTTTGCTTAAAGCCCAGAACACCTTAAGAGATAAAGAATGACAAACCTGACCTCCCAAGATTGAAGGCATCCTTGAGTTTAAGGCATCCTTGAGTTTTACAATAAAGAAAAAATTCTCCTTTTCCCCCACTCCTCCCTCAAACAGCCCAGCAGGCCCAGGAGAAAGGAGAGTAGTGAACACAAATATTCTGGATCACTTAAAAATTCTTTTCTCCTTTGTAAACAATAAAGTAACTTGCCTATTTAATCATAGTCCTCTGAGAGTTTAGTATATATGAATCACTTCTCTGGGGCCTGATTATCCCAAGCCCAAGGCAATTAATCAGACTGTATTGCTGCACCCTGGATGCAAAGTAATTCCTCAAAGTTTGGGAATTTCTGGAAACCAGTCCTGATGCCCAGGGGACCAGTCTGTTTGGTCTTTCTTAACTTCCAAGGACTACATTTTGGTACAAATAATGCACTTTGAGACAAAACTGGATAGCCTTCAGATACTAAAGCATTCGCCTTTGAATTAGTTCTCTCTCAGTACCTGTTGTATTTTTTTCTGTTTGTAGAAAGTATCAAAGAGCGTTATGGAACCCTACTAGGTGAGCTCCATATGATTGAATTGGAGAAAGGTCGTAGCGGCTTGGGTCTAAGCCTTGCTGGAAATAAAGATCGATCCAGGATGAGTGTCTTTATAGTAGGAATTGATCCCAATGGAGCAGCTGGGAAAGATGGCAGGTTACAGATTGCAGATGAGCTTCTAGAGGTAAGCTCTTGTGGTAAAGTCTGTTAACTAGAAGGCAGAGTGGTGCAACGGAATAATCAGTTTCCAGAAACTCCACCAGGCCTCACATTGAGACTGAGAAAACTATCGTTTGCCTAATAAAATAGATGCATTGCTGCCAAGTTGGCTCTAAACCAAATCTTTCCTAAGTAGAGTCCATGTTCCCATTAACTTCCATTTAAAGGTCATGACTGTGTAGTGCCAGAAACAATTTTTGCCCCAAGACAGTAATAAAGATCACACTCTAAAACATTTTGTGTGTGTGTGCTACATTTTTATTTGAATTTTGCAAAGGCCAAATGACCAGTCACTCTCCAGTAATGATGCAGACTCCCTGAGCTTTCTGGAAGTTGAATCCCTAATAGTAGAAGTGAATGGGGATGGGGTGGTTTGGGTCAAGATTAAGACTAAATAATGAAAGCAGTAACTGAACCTGCCAAACAAAATAGATTTGTGGGCTATAATGTTAAAGTGTTTAGAATTGTATTTGCATGTTTTCTTTGTCCCTACGTCCTCTGGGGTAGCAGTCACATGTCCTGCCTTTATACTCTTCCCCATACCTAGTGTTTTTGGCTAGGGAGGCTCAGTCAGCAGTGGCTTAGACTAGAGAACTGAGCTGGCAGTTTCTATCAGGTACTTTGCTGCTTAATCACATTCTACTGCCCAAATCCTGAACCCACGGACATTACTTCTCCCAGCAGCCTTTTCCAGGGCTTGAGTTTTGAGATCACCTGGGAAACATGACAGCAGGAAACTTCCCAAGATGGTCTGTACAGCCCACTAGTGCTTAGACAGAGCCCTAGCTTTGTACAAAGCATGGTGGAAGCCCAGTGCCTGTCAGGAAATTTGCATCCTACTCCCCAACATTTGGTGCATTGGTACCTCTTAACTATCTGTCCCTAATTGTCACACTACATGTAACTCACTTTAGTATTAGCTTTAAACATCACCATCAAAAGTCAGGTTCATATTCTAGGGAGGAATATATGTGTGTGTGTGTGTGTATATATTTAAAGGAAGCATATATTTATATTAGAAGAAGAAAAAATATGACTAATATGATTTTTATTAGCCAGATGAGATGATAAAAAAAATTAATTAAAATTCCTGGCTTAATGAATGATCCTTATTTTTCACAGATCAATGGTCAGATTTTATATGGACAAAGTCATCAGAATGCCTCATCAATCATTAAATGTGCCCCTTCCAAAGTAAAAATAATTTTTATCCGGTGAGCATTTTCTTTTGCTGGTTTGCCAGATAATTTTTGTTAGCATTTCGACTTTAAGATCTTTTGAATGAAAATAAAAAATGTTTGAATATATGAGTGTTAAAGGTTTAGATCTTTGGGGTTAGTGAGTTTTCTCTGGTAATCCTCTGACTCTTCAAGTTGTAGAATGAAAATAACATGAATTTTTCTGACATATTGATGCTGTTTATTTTAGAAATAAAGATGCAGTGAGTCAGATGGCTGTATGCCCTGGAAATACAGTAGAACCTTTGTCTGCTACCTCAGAAAATCTTCAAAATAAGGAGGTATATATATAAATAGCTTGTGCTTGGTTTTCTGATAAGATTTGATTGATATGTTGTTGTGATATGCAAAACTGTTGTTGTTGTTATGTGCCTTGAGTCGGACCGACTCATAGCGACCCCTCCTTGGGTTTCTGAGGCAGTATCACTACAGAAGTAGATTGCCCCATCTTCTTCCAAGGAGTGGCTTGTGGGTTGGAACCGCCAGCTGTCTGGTTAGCAGTCAAGTGCCTTCAGCACTATGCTACCAGAGCTCCCATATATACAAAACTTGTTGTTGTTGTTGTTATGTGCCGTCGAGTCGGCCCCGACTCATAGCGACCCCTCCTTGGGTTTCCGAGGCAGTATCACTACGGAAGTAGGATTGCCCAAACTAGTACTTATTAATTCAGTAAGTCATTACTGAATGCTTACTGGGTTATCAAAGGTTAATAGGTCATAGCCTCAGCCCTCCAAGAATTTAGAACCATTACCTGAGGTTGCCTATAGAAGTTTTCAGAGAGAATACTGAGAGTAGAAATGGAATTGTTAATTCTGTCTCTGAAGAGAGTATGGAAAAAACTTTATAGGGGAAAGAAAACTTACCTGTATGTTGGAATGAAAATACTTGGGGAAAATGTTGCAGGCAGAGGGGATTGAGTGAAGGACAACATGGAAGCTTTGGACAATGCAGGGAATTAAAGAATGCAGAGTATGACTGAACAGTGGGAGCAAACGTGAGAAGCTGATGGGAAATAGGGACTGAACAGATAGATTGGGTCAGATCATGGGAAATTATCACAGGTTAATACATGCAGACTTTGTCTTTGAGGCAGTGAGGAACTCAGAATGAAAAGTGTACTTTCAAAACTCTGACAGTAGAGTAGGAAAAGATCAGAAGTAATGGGAGAGAGAAAATTCGAGGAAGTGAGAAAATTATTGGAGAAATGGGGGAGAAAGATAATAAGAGCCTGGACTAAAACAAGAAGAGAGAAGATGATTATGTCAGAGGTTAAGGAACCCAAATTGACAGTATTTCATCCCTGGCTTTGAGACATTGAGAGAAAATGAGTAATTGAGAATTAATTTATCCAAAATATGTTTATTGAGTTTCTGCCTTATAGGAGGTACTGTTCTTGAGGGTGGGGATACCCTGGTGAATAAGGCAGACAGGATGTACAAGGCTTCCAGATGTCTGATGTGACCTAGTGGGTGGCTGACTTTCACCATAACAGGAAATATAGGGAAAAAGAGAAGACATTTGCAAAAAGATAATACATTCTACTTGGGACACTTGAGAATTAAATAAGTACCCATTGGAAAGCCTGGCATAGGGGCACATTGGGACATTTGGTATAAAACTTAGAGATGTATTCCTATAAGATATAGATTTGGCATTTGTTAGCCATGGGAGCTGAAGTGTTTGCCTACAAAGACCATTTAGAGAAAAGAGGGTTAAAAGGGTTAAGGTCGAAATAATGGATTATCAACAATAAAGAGTGGTAGGAGAGGATGAAAGAGAACCCAGGAGGGCATTTACATGACTTGAGGGGAGAGTGCATTTCGAGAAGGATGTATTCCACAACCTTAAGTGCTACAGAGGTCAGGTAAGGAGATGACTAAAGAAAGTCCACTAGCTTTGGTGGTTAAGAAATTATTAGGAGAGAGAGGAATGGCTAGAGGGTGACAAAGAGTAAGGAGAGTTTTTTGGTGGTAGTTTTGTTTTGATATGGAAAAGATTTGGATATGCATTACAGGATGAATGAAAAGAACATAGTAGGAAGCAAAAGGCTTAAAATTACAGGAGCCTGTAGTGATATCAGTTGGGGATAGGAGGCAGAAATAGTAGGAACAAAAATACTCTTTCCTAACTGAACATGTAAGGAGCTCTGGTGGTTCAGTGCCAAAGACATTTGTCTGCTAACCAGAAGCTTGGTGGTTCAAACCTAAAAGCCACTCTGTAGAAGGAAGACCAGGCAATCTACTTCTGTAAAGATTTACCCCCTCGGAAACCCAAAGGGGGTCGCTATGAGTCAGAATTGACTCGATGGCAGTGAGTTTGGTTCTTTTTTGGTTTTATTGTTGCTGTTAGGTGTCATCATGTCAGTTCTGACTCCTAGTGACCCTGTGTAGAGTAGAATGAAACAGTGCCCTGTCCTGCATCATCCTCACAATCATTGCCATGCTTGAGCCCATCATTGCAGCCACTGTGTCAGCCCATCTCATTGAGGGATTAAGGGTCTTCCCCTTCTTTGACCTCTACTTTACCAAGCATAATATCCTTCTCCAAGAAATGGTCCCTTCTGACAACATGACCAAAGTAGGTCAGACGAAGTCTGGCCATTCTCACTTCCAAGGAGCAGTCTGGCTGCACTTCCTCCAGGACAGATTTGGTCCTTCTTCTGGCAGTCCATGGGACTTTCAGTATTCTTCTCTAACACCCCGCTCAAAAATATCAACTCTTCTTTGGTCTTCCTTATTCATTGTCCAACTTTCTTCCTTATTGTCCAACTTTCACATGCATATGAAGCTATTGAAAATACGATGGCTGGGTTAGTCTTCAAAGAGACATCTTTGCTCTTCAGCACTTTAAAGAGGTCGTTTGAAGCAGATTTGCCCAGTGCGATGCATCGTCTGATTTCTTGACCTACTTCCATGGGTGTTGATTGTGGTTCCAAGTAATATGAAATCTTTGACAACTTCAGTGTTTTCTCCATGTATTGCTATCTCCTAAAATAGATGAACATTAACCAATTAATTCTTTTTGGTACAGTGACTGAGTATTCCTTCCATCTTCTTTTGATGCTTCCTGCATCATTCAACATTTTGCCCACAGAATTTTTCTATATTGCAATGCAAGGTTTGAGTTTTTTCTTCAGTTCTTTCAGCTCAAGAAATGCCTTGCATGTTTTTCCCTTTTGGTTTTCTAACTCCAGGTCTTTGCACATTTCAGTATAATAATTGACTTTGTCTTCTTGACGTCTTCTTTGAAATCTTCTGTTCAGCTCTTTTATCTTGTCATTTCTTCCATTTGCTTTAGCTACTCTCCATTCAAGAGCAAGTTTCAGAGTCTCTTCTGACATCCATTTTGGCTTTTTCTTCCCTTCATGTCTTTTTAATGACCTTTTGCTTTCTTCATATATGGTGTTCTTGATGTCATCCCTCAACTTGTCTGGTTTTCATTCCTTGGTGTTCAGTGCATCAAATTTGTTCTTCAGATGGTCTCTAAATTCAGATGGGATATAATCAAGGTCCTATTTTGGCTCTTGTTTTAATTGTCTTCAGCTTCCACTTGAACTGCATATGAGAAATCAATGGTCTGTTCCACAGTAAGCTCCTGGCTTTGTTTTGACTGAAGACATTGAGCTTCTCCATTACCTGTTACTACACATGTAGTTGATCTGACTCCTGTGTATTCCATCTAGTGAGGTCCATGTGTATAGCTGCCATTTATGTTGTTGAATAAAGGTATTTGTAATGAAAACGTAATAGGTCTTGCAAAATTCTATCATGTAATCTCCAGTGTCATTTCTATCTCCAAGGCCATAATTTCCAGCTACTGGTGATTCTTCTTTGTTTTGAACTTTCACATTCCAATCACCAGTAATAATCAATACATCTGGATTGTATGTTTAAACTATTTCAGATTACAGAAGTTGGTAAAAATCTTCAATTTCCTCACCTTTGGCTTTAGTGGTTGGTGTGTAAATTTGAATAGTAGTATTAACTGGTCTTCCTTATAGGTGTATGGACATTATCCTATCACTGACAGCATTGCACTTCAGGATAGATGTTGAAACATTATGATGATGAATACAATGCCATTCATCTTCAATTTGTCATTCCTGGAGTATTGGATGATATGGTTGTCTGATTCACAATGACCAAAACCAGTCCATTTCAGCTCACTAATTCCTACAATATCAAGCTTTATGTGTTCCATTTCATTTTTGACAACTTTCAATTTTCCTGCACTCATACTTTGTACATTCCACATTCTGATTATTAAGGGATGTTTGCAGCTTTTTTTCCCCAATTTGAGTCATGCTCCATCAGCAAATGATGGTCCTGAAACTTCAATCCGCCTACATCCTTAAGGTCGACTCCACTTTGAGGAGGCTGCTCTTCCCCACTTGTATTTTGAGTGTTTTCTGACCTGAGGAGCCCATCTTTCAGCACTATATCAGACCATGTTTCAGGGCTATTCATAAAGTTTTCCAGTAATATATCAGACACTGTTTTACTAATATTCATAAAGTTTGTACTGGCCAATTCTTTGAGAAGTGGATGGCTCCTTCCTTCTGTCTTAGTCTGGAAGCTCTGTTGAAACCTGTCCACCATGGGTGATCCTGATGGTATTTGAAATACTGGTGGCATAGCCTCCAGCCTCACAGCAATGTGCAAGCCACCACAATACGACAAACTGACAGAGGAATGGTGGAAAACATTTTACTACTTTCTAAATTGACTTAATTATTAAAACAGTCATGAATGATGAATGGAGCCTCTGCTGGTGCTCTGGTTGTCAGTGAGTTTCAGTGTTTCATAGCTGAGTTACTTTTATATTTCATTACAGATTAAATCCAGGAAGTTTTGAGAGCCACTTAGTGTTTCTATACTCTAAAATAATTTCTGTCTAATCTCATCACATTAAGTATTTTGAAGGGAGTGTAATGTTCATAAATGATATCAAATGTTAAAACAGTAATAATGAATAGTACTCTATGAAATAATTTTTATGATGTAGCTGTTATATTTAAACAAACAAAAATACATAACACTCATTTTCCTTTTTGGTCATTTCTCTCCCTCTGTCAGGCTGATCCAAGTATTACTACAAGCAACCCACCTATTGACCTCAGTTCATTTAAAAATGTGCAACACCTGGAGCTTCCCAAGGTAAATCTGCATGAACTTAGAATGAAATGATGTTGAGGAACTTCACACCAATGTTTTCATTCACTGGTTCTGAAAAGTGCCATCTCCGGACCAGGAGCATCCATATATCTTGGGAACTTGTTAGAAATGCAAATACTTAGGCCTTTCCGGACGTACTGAACAGAACACTCTGAGAGTGAACTCAGCAGTCTGTGTTTTAACAAGTCCTTCAGGTTATTCTGATGCTTGTTGAAGCTTGAAAACCACTGGCCTGATGGATACTTTAACAGAGGCCCAGCTTATGTTGTTTAAGGTGTGAAATGAAGCCTTCTCCCCTTTGATTCATTTACCCAGAACCTATGCTAGAGGAGATGAATGAATAAAGAGATAGAAGTTACAGTTTTTGTCTTTCATAAAACTTAAGTAACTAGAATTTCTCACTGATAGGCATCAATGATGTATTTGCTTTTGAAAAGATCTGAACTTTAGGTCTCCAGGTTGTGAACAAGATCAGTTCCTGAGTGTATCTTTACATCGATTTTGTAGGTAGGCTGGAACACGTACATATGGTTCATATTTAATCTTACTTTAGTGCAAAAAATGTCTCAGAGCCTTTTCCATGATTTAAAATCTGCACATACGGCAAGTGAAAGTGATTGTGATACAGAGTATGTTGAAAGTAGGTGTGGTAGTTCAGTTTGTGTGTCAACTTGGCTGGGCCTGGTTGACTGGCTGGGCAGCTGGATGGTGAGACTGGTGATCAACTCCATGGTGGAATCTACTGTGAGCAGCTGAGTAGCTGCCTTAGGGAATGTGGTCTGCTTCTTGTATATGATCAGAAGCCTTAGGGAATGGTCTCTAGCTTATGACACATTTGGACCCTGCATGTAGCTGTGTTTTTGTTCAGTAGCCTGCCATGCTCTGCTGAACTTGGGACTTAAAATGGACTTGAAGTAATGGCCTGATGTTGTTTAAGGTGTGGGTAACATTGAGACTGTCTTTTTACTTGTCAGCCTTGGGTTTGTTAGCCTCAGCAGCGAGTAGGTGCCTGAGTGAAGAAAAGCCTCCAGCTTCAGTGGGCCAGGAGCAGAAGGCAGAGCTGCAACCTAAGGTTGAGGGGCTTTCACCCAGCCCCTAGAGCCTGGCACTTTGAACTTGGACTTAAAGCCTCCAAACTATGAGAGAATAAACTCCTGTTTGTTAAAGCCATGATATTTGTGGTATAGTCTTGTCAGAGCAGCACTAGGTAACCAGAACAGTAGGGAATGGTTCAGTTGTTTCAAAATGAGGGCAATTTTACATAACATTAAAGGGCAAGTTGTAGTTGTCTGTAAGTCAGACATTCATAACCTGGGGATTGCTGTACATTATCTCAAGCCCCTACTCAGAACGTCCTCTGAACTTTTCATTATCAAACAGGTAAATTCAAGCTCATAACCTGGCACTCAGCAATGAGGGTGGGCAGAAGCCTGAACTAGCTGTCATAAACCCTCTCACATACATCCTCAGTGATCTCTGATAAATCACTTAATCTCACTGATCCCAGTTTGATGCTTCTTCTACATTGGAGAAGTCAAAGCCAGCATTATGGAAAATTTGACTTTGATAGAAAGTGGAAAATATGGACAAAGTAATGTAGCTTTCCAACTAAAGGTTTCAGTGCAGGTTTCAAGAGCATTTTCACTTTGCAAGAATCAAAACACAAGTCTTTGGAGAAACAACTCTGGGTGTTCAGCCCCAGAAAGGACTAAGCATGTGGCAATAAATGTATTCTATCTGCAAAAAGAACACAGGTGGCAGAAAGAGATGAATGGGCAGGCATGGTTGTTATTTCTAAGCTATATGCCAAAAGGAGAAGAGGCAGGATACTTTGATTAGTTTAAAATAACTTATTTTATCAGTCAGTTACACAAGACTAAATTTACAAATGTTGCACATTGCCTAAATTAGTGAATACATCTTTGTTACCTATTTTACTGACATCACTAGACATGTCAGGTAGGCAGGCCTAGGGCTTGGAGGCTGCTTTTCACTTGTGGGCAGGTCTATTTTAAGGCCCAGGCAGGAGGTAGGCAGGCCTGGGTCTGGGAGCTGCTTTTTGCTTGGGGCGGCTCTTTATTAAGGCCAGGGCCTGAGGTGGCCAGGCCTGGGGCTTGGAGGCTGCTTTTCATATGGGGGTGGCTCTATATTAAGGCCAGGGTCTGAAGTAGGTGGGCCCAGGGCTTGGAGACTGCTTTTCATTTGAGTGTGGCTCTGTATTAAGGCCGGGGTCTGAGGCAGGTGGGCTGGGGCTCAGAGGCTGCTTTTTGCTTGTGGGTGGCTCTATTTTAAAGCTGTTGCCCAAGGTAGGCAGGTGCAGAGGGGTTAGTTACAACTAAGAGAGATGAACTTGTCTGTCAGTTTGTTGCCATGTGGTGGCTTACATGTTGCTATGAGGCCATGCCACTATGTTGTAAAATGCCAGCAGGGTTATCCATGGTGGGCAGGTTTCAGCGGAGCTTCCAGGCTAAGACAGATTTGGAAGAAGAAAGAAACCATCCACTTCTCAAACAATTGGCCAATGAAAACCTTATGAATAGCAGTGAAACACTGTCTGATATATTACTGGAAAACTTTATGAATAGCCCTGAAACATTGTCTGATATAGTGCCAGAAGATGAGCCCGTAAGTTTGGAAAGCACTCAAAATTTGACTGGGGAAGAGCTGACTCCTCAGAGTTAATGATAATGATATGGATAGAGTAAAGCTTTTGGGACCTCCATAGGCTGATGTGACACAACTCAAAACAAGTAGAAAAAGATGGAAATATCCATTAATAATTGGAAAATGGAATGTACAAAGTATGAATCTAGGAAAACTGGAAGTTGTCAAAAATGAAATGGAATGCATAAAGATCGATATCCTAGCCATTAGTGAGCTGAAATGGACTAGATTTGGCCATTTTGAATCAGACAACCATATGATCTACTATGCCCGGAATGACAAATTAAAGAGGAATGATGTGGCATTCATCATCACAAAGAGTGTTTTAAGATCTGTCCTGCAGTACAACATTGTCGATAGAATAATATCCATACGCCTACAAGGAAGATCAATTAATACTACTATTATCCAAATTTACGCACCAACCTCCAAAGCCAAAGATGAGGAAAATAAAGATTTCTACCAACTTCTGCAGTCTGAAATTGACCAAACATGCAATCAAGATGTGTTGATTATCACTGGTGACTGGAATGCAAAAGTTGGAAACAAAGAAGTGTTACCAGTAGTTGGAAAATGTGGCCTTGCAGATAGAAATAACATTGGGGATCACATGATAGAATTTTGGAAGACCAAGGACTTATTCATTGCACATATGTTTTTTCAGCAACATAACTGATGACTATACATGTGGACTTCACCAGATGGGATGCACAGGAATCAGGTTGAATACATCTGTGGCAAGAGGCAATGGAGAAGTTCATTATCTTCAGCCAAAGCAAGGCCAGGAGCTTACTGTTGAACAGACCATCAAGTGCTCAGATCCATATTCAAGGTGAAGTTGAAGACAATTAAAACCAGTCCACAAGAGCTAAAATATGACCTTGATAATATCCCTCCTGAATTTAGAGACCATCTAAAGAATAGATTTGATGCATTGAACACCAATGACTGAAAACCAGAATTGTGGGAGGACGTCAAGAACATCATCCATGAAGAACTCAAGAGGTCATTAAAAAGACATGAAAGGATGAAAAACCAAAATGGATGTCAGAAGAGACTCTGATACTTGCACTTGAGTGGAGAATATCTAAAGCAAATGGAAGAAATGACAAGATAAAAGAGCTGAACAGAAGATTTCAAAGAGCAGCTTGAGAAGACAAAGCCAATTACTATAATGAAATGGTCAAAGACCTGGAGTTAGAAAACCAAAAGGGAAGAACATGCTTGGCATTTCTCAAGCTGAAAGAACTAAGGAAAAAATTTTAGCCTTGCATTGCAATATTGAAAGATTCTGTGGGCAAACTATCGAATGATGCAGGAAACATCAAATGAAGATGGAAGAAATACACAGAGTCACTGTACCAAAAAGAATTGGTTGATGCTCATCCATTTCAGGAAGTGGTATATGCCCAAGAACCAATGGTACTGAAGGAAGAAGTTGAAGCTGCACTGAAGGAATTGGCAAAGAACCAAAGCTCCAGGAGTTGATGGAATACCAAATGAGATGTTTCAACAAATGGATGCCCTGCTAGAGGCACTCACCTGGCTATGCCAAGAGATTTGGAAGATAGCTACCTGGCCAAATGACTGTAAGAGATCCATATTTGTACCCATTCCAAAGAAAGGTGATCTTGCAGAATGTGGAAATTATCGAACAATATAGTTAATATCACATGCAAGAAAAATCTTACTGAAGATAATTCAAAAATGATTATAGCAGTATATACACAGAGAGCTTCCAGAAATGCAAGCTGGTTTCAGAAGAGGATGTGGAATGAGGGATATCATTGCTGATATCAGATGGATCTTAGCTGAAAGAAAAATACCAGAAAGATGTTTACTTATGTTTTATTGACTTAGCAAAAGCATTTAATTGTGTGGATCATAATAAATTGTGGATAACATTGAGAAGAATGAGAATTCCAGAACACTTGATTATACTCATGAGGAACCTGTACATAGACAGGAGATTGTCTTTTGAACAGAACAAGGGGATACTGCATGGTTCAAAATCAAGAAGGGAGTGTGTCAAAGTTGTATCCTTTCACCATAATTATTCCACTTACATGCTGAGCAAATAAGCCAAGCAGCAGGATTTTATGAAGAAGAATGTGGCATCAAGATTGGAGGAAGACTCATTAACAACCTGTGTTATGCAGATGACACAACTTTGCTTGCTGAAAATCAGGGTGACTTGAAGCACTTACTGATGAAGATTGAAGAATACAGTCTGCAGTATGGATTTCACCTCAATATAAAGAAAAGAAAAATCCTCACAACTGGTCCACTAAACGCCTTCACGGTGGATGGAGAAAAATTTGAAGTTGTCAAGGATTTCATATTACTTGGTTCTACAATCAACACCAATGGAAGCAACAGCCAAAACATCAGATGACGTATTACATTGGGCAAATCTGCTGCAAAAGACCTCTTTCAAGTGACGAAGAGCAAAGATGTCTCCTTGAAGACTAAAGTGCACCTAACCAAAGCTGTGGTATTTTCAGTCGCCTCTTATGCATGGGAGAGCTGGACAATGAATAAGGAAGACCAAAGAAGAGTTGATGCTTTGGAGTTGTGGTGTTTGAGAAGAATACTAAAAGTACTATGGTCTGCTAAAAGGACTAACAAATCTATCCTGGAAGAAGTGCAGCCGGAATGCTTCTTGGAAGTGAGAATGGCCAGCCTCTCACCTACTTTGGTCATGTTGTCAGAATGAACCATTCCCTGGAGAAGGATATCATGCTTGGTAAAGTGGAGGGTCAACAAAGAATGGGAAGGCACTCAACAAGATGGGTAGACACAATGACTGCAACAGTGGGCTCAGGTATAGCAAAGATTGTGAGGCTGGCACAAGACTGGGCAGTGTTTCGTTCTACTGTGCATAGGATTGCTAAGAGTTGGAGATGACTCCACGGCATCTAATAACAACAACAACTAGAGATGTCAGACATATAGGAAGAGTGAACATACTTGATTATATTGAATGGAGGAAAATTGGTTCCCATTAGAAAAACTTGGAAACTTGCATAATATATGAAGAGATTTCTAATAGTGGACTTCAGAATAATTTTAATTGGTTTTCAAACCCTTAGGTGGAAGATCCTCCCCCTCTTTCGTCGACCCTCCACCCTACCAAGCATGACATCCTTCTCCA